CGAACCTGACTAATTTGTACTTCCCAAAATCAATATGCGAACCAAAATTCAGCTGTCCTTCAAAATTCAAACTTCTCTGAATATTGTGATGGAGTTCTCTAACTAAAACATGTTTACAAAGATATATCAGTGGATATATCTTCATATATATATATATATATATATATATATATATATGGGATATATATGAAAAATAAATTTCAAATGTCCTATATTGGGGGAGACTCTTTGAAAACATATGTATATTGGGCAAGATTGTGCATGTGTATATTATGAGAAATGCATGCTAAAACAACAACACTTTTATTCTTGGTACAGTGGTACCTCAGGTTAAGTACTTAATTCGTTCCAGAGGTCCGTTCTTAACCTGAAACTGTTCTTAACCTGAAGCACCGCTTTAGCTAATGGGGCCTCCCACTGCTGCCACACCGCCAGAGCATGATTTCTGTTCTCATCCTGAAGCAAAGTTCTTAACCCTAGGTACTATTTCTGGGTTAGCAGAGTCTGTAACCTGAAGCGTATGTAACCTGAAGCGTATGTAACCCGAGGTACCACTGTATATAGCTTTGTTCTGTTTTCAGTAGCTTTTAGGAACTTTTATCACTGTTGTATGTGAGGGCTGCAATTAAGAGTGTTCACAGTTCGAACAGACTGCTCCTGCTCAAAGCAGTGCTGCTTGCTGTCACTGTTTAATGTCACATTATATCTGCAATATCCTCCACCAGCTATGCATTCTGTAGCTGAGTGTGCTTTACTGTGTTAGGGGGTTGCACAGAGCGAGTTGCAAGGCTGTCAGTTTGTCTGACCATTTGCTCCCTTCTAAGCCTCTGAACGGGACACAGGTGGCTTGCCGATCAGAAGATCGGCGGTTCGAATCCCTGCGATGGGGTGAGCTCCAGTTGTTTGGTCCCAGCTCCTGCCAACCTAGCAGTTTGAAAGCATGTCAAAGTGCAAGTAGATAAATAGATACCACTCCGGTAAACGGTTAAGTAAACGGCCTTTCCATGTGCTGCTCTGGTTTCACCAGAAGTGGCTTAGTCATGCTGGCCACATGATCCGGAAAAATTGTCTGTGGACAAACGTCGGCCCCCTTGACCAGTAAAGCGAGATGAGCGCCACAACCCTAGAGTTGTTCACGACTGGACTTAACTGTCAGGGGTCCTTTACCTTTAAGCCTCTGAGCATACTGGTAATTGGTTCTTTGTTGTGATCCTCTTGAGGGAAAGCCTGCTTGATTGTTCCGTGTAAATAAAAGACATTGCATAACTTACCTGGAGATACTGAATGACTTTTGATTGTCATTTTCTGCATCTGTTCAAGTAGCACCCAAGGTAATCACCCCATCAACCCACACCTTAAACCCTCCAGGGCTGGCAGTATGGAAAGGGAAGCCAATTCGACAGCTGGAAGAATTTTGGTGGGTGTATATGGCAATGATTTGGGAGCTGAAGGGGGGAAAGCTAGTAGAATAGGTAAATTTCCCACAAATGTAGTGATGCCCCCCAGCTTGGTGGTGTTAAAAGAGGATTAGACAAATTCACGGAGGATAATGCTATCAATGTCTGCAAGTCATGATGGCTATGCTTTTCGTCTACTGCTGAAGGCAGTATGACTCTGAATACAAGTAACTGAGAATCACAAATGAGGAGAGGACTTTCCACAGCCATCTGATTGGTCACTGTGGGAACAGGATGCTGGACTAGATGGGCAACTGGGTTGACCAAGCAGGGCTCTTCTTGCGTTCTCAATTATTAGCTACATTTTAGCATGAGAAATTCTGGGAGTAGACTTGAGCCATTGGCTTAAAAGCAAATTCAGCCCTCCGGTTCATTTAAATCGCTCCCTTCCAGTCTGTAGTCTGGCAGATGGGGAACTCTGGCTCAAATCCTCCCTCAGTGATGAAGCTCTAGGAGTAACTTAATTCACATGGAACGATGTTCTGCTCTTCTTATACAAATGGTGAGCTATAATGTGTGTGGCTTAGTTTACTTCTTTATTCTTTTAGGGAGGGGGATCCCTTTACTTGTTTCTGTCAGCTCTAATTTTGTTGATTAAAAAACAAAAAACCTACAAGCATTCCCTGCAGAGGCAAGATCTACCTCCTATCAGCCTCACACTGTTTGCTAGAGACAGATGGAAGGAAGGAAATAAGAAGCTGAAGGAGTCTGGAAAAGTTGCTATAAGACAGAGGTGGAATGTTGAATGTGGCCCTCTGTGCCTCTTTACGTGGCCCTTGGGACTTCTGAAGCCACACCTTTTCCCAAGGCACTCTTTTCATAGGTCCTGCTCCATGCCTGACTGGAATGTGTCCTTGAACTGTGATAATGCCTGGAGAAAGGATGGAGAGAGGTACAGGGGTGGGGTTATATGTAGAAACTTCTGGCTTTTGCATGGCTGAAATGTAGCCCACTGTACAAAACGGTGAGTCATGCCAGTTGCCCCACCCACTTCTACTTCTGGACCCACCCCACTACTGGCATGTGGACCTCCAAAGGTTGCCTGTGGGGGAATCTGGCCCTTGGGCTTGAGAATACCTGTAATGGATTAGGAACAACATAAAGAATGTGATTGGCCTTGCATGCCTGCTTTAAAAAAGTAAAATAAAATAAAAATAAGCAGTAGCTATGGGAAGATCCAGACTACAGTGTGGAAGGAAATTGGGTTTAACCATTTGCCCTTGTCATAATCTTGATCTGGACAGCACACCTGTTCGCTCCTGGAGGGAAACTGAGGAACAAGCTAGACCATTGGTCTATCTAGCTCAGAGGTCTATATGCTCTCCAGAGTTTCAGACAGGAATCTGCCTTAGCCCTGCTTGAAGATATCAGGCCTTTTAAAATGTGAGCAGGGCTGTATTAACACCATTAGAGGGCCCGAGCATTGAAAAGATTATGGTGCCCCGCCATTTGTAATCTGAAATGAAAACAATACTAAACTATAAAACAAAACAAAACAGATTTATTGCAACGCACAACAGGATCTGATTTCCTGGCATTATTTCTATCTACATTTGTAGGAACGCCCCCAGGTTCAGGTGGGGATAAGTAATAAAAAGAGAACCAAAATAAAAATAAAAATGGAGAAAAAGTTGTGGTGGAGTGTAAGAAAGTGTGTGTGTTTCCATTCTGATGGAATTTGATGTGTTTCCTTTTTGTGTGTGCCTCTGCTGTTTTGGTGCCCTGAGCACACGCTGGCAACACAGCACTGAAAGAAAAGCGTGTGTACAACCACTAAGCACTTTCCCTCCACTAGTGCCCAGTAAATATCTGCCATGCTCAGAATGGGAGACTGAGTCCAGAATGGGACTCTGGATACCTGCCCCAAAGTCCTGTCCTGAAAGCACCACTGCCACTCCCACAAATACTATTCAGTGAACCAAACTAAAGGCACATAAAAGGACCAATCACATGCTTCATGTCATGTCTAGTCTGTCCCTCTGTTCTCATGGTGGTCAATTTGTGTTTGGGCTGGAGCAATTCAGACCACAGATGTGAGCCAGCAGGACTGAAAACTTCACTCAGAATATCTCCCTCCATATTAGATGAAGTGTCAAGAGAAGGGTTCCAGACCCTCCAAGTGTCCTTATTTTCCAGGGATGTCCCTGATTTAGAGAAGCCATCCCAGTTTCTGGTTTGATCCCAGAATGTCCAGCTTTTCCTTAGGATGTCCCTATTTTCATTGGAGAAATGTTGGAGGGTATGGAGTTATCCAACCCCCATAATTATCATCACGGAATTGGACGTTCCTGTTTTCATTGGAGAAATGTTGGAGGGTATGGGGTTCCTACCTAGAAGTTTCCCTAACATGCTAATTTTCTATGTGCGGGGCACTTTTAAGAACATATATAAAGAGAAGCAAATAATGCAACAGCCTCTATCTGCAACCTGAACTGGTACAACCCAGACTCAGATTAACCACCTGGAAAGAGGCCAATGACACTGAACATAGAAAAGGTTAATAAACAGTTAATAGTGATTGGAGGCAAGGGGGGGGGAGGGAGGGAGAGATTGAATGGGACAATAGTCTAATAAGTGCTTTGCTCAGAGAACAGGGAGAGCGAGTTGGGGACAGGAAGCATTGAGGCATCAGTCCTTTAAAAGATCCATGAAATCAATTTGAGTATGCAAAGATATTCTCAAAATAACTCTGAGGAATGAGAAAGGCACGGAGTCTGGTGAAAATAACCTTCGGATCACTTTACACTTCAGTAATCTCATGGATGCTAAAATTCTGCTGCAAAGTGCTTTTTTAAAAAAAAATAAAAATAAAAGAAAGAAAGTCCAATCTACATTTTACCCAAATTCTTTAAATGACGGAGTAAATTAGCAATCTCAGATTCCCCCCTATTTCAATATCTTTCATATTTTGTGTAGTTATTATGAAGACAGATGGTCCCTTGAGAAAGCCAGTGAGGCAGCTTGGGTAGAGCTCAGCCACAATTTCTCAAAATACTTGTTTTTCTGAGTGGAGAGCAAAATTCTGAGTGGTGTTTTTTTTTTTTTTTTACCCTTGAGCCTTCCCCCACAAAAGGAGGGTCATTTTGTCAAATATTCACCAAATAGTGTCCACCCCTCCCCACCACCACCTTCCCAGAGATACACCAGAAGCTATGTACTTCCCATCTTCAGGGAATGATCCTGCATCTCTATTTCTGAGGCACAGTGGAAGACACTATATAGTGCCCAGGCAGCCAGGACTGAAGCTCTGCTATTGATACACTGCCAGTAATAACGGTGAGTCTCCCTCCCGCAACAAACAGTTGGCGGATTTTGCCCTTCTGGTAAATATTTAGCAAACTCCACTCCCTAAAAAAAACAACCACACACAATTTCACTGCCACAGAGAATCTCAGGATGCCAAAGTTTTGCGCTCAACTCATCCGATTATGGTCCACTCCATGATCCACTGCCAAGAATCCATCAGCTTTTGCTGATGAGCCAAAGCCGGAAGCTCTGCAGAGTTTGACATGCCACTGCTTCTGCGATGTTAAAGGAGTCCCATTAGAGGCAGTGGTTAATTGCAGAAGGCCAGGGAGAGTGGTTGCACCTGCTCTCTCTGAGAGGGGATGGAACACCGTCGCTTGCTTTGAAATGTCCTGTTGCATTCATCAGCCTGGATGGCATCGAGAAGTTATAGCCGTAGAAACCATATGGAGGATGTAAGGCACAATTAAGGGCTTCCTGGGTAATGGGACTTGATGGGAAAATGTTTCCAGATGCATGCAAGCCATACAGCATATGCCCAGCAGAACTGGGCCCTTGGGGGCTTGGTCCATTTAAGTCTTCTGCTTTGCCACTTTTGACGTTGGTTATGCTCAGAGAAGACAGTGCAGGCATCTCCACCATGAAGTGAGGCAAAAGGGGTGGGCTGGAAGCATTTCCCAGTTTCGGATGGCTTGGAAATATCAGCGATGGCTGTCTTAAAAGGCCGGTAGGGCAAATCTTGTAGCAGACAGGGAGGCCAAAGTGGTGGAGGTAAGATTCCGGGCATGACATTCTGAGGTTGCTTGCTGACAGGTGGAGTGTAGGAGGAGAGCAAGAGGGGGAGAGAAGAGAGCTGAGAGGAGACGGGGTTCCCCCGGGGGGTGTCACAGGGGAAGACCCAGGACTTCCACCTACAGTAAGGCAAGGAAAATTATGTCGTTAAAATATTTTTTTAAAAAGAGAGAGAGATTTCCCTTTCTCTCTCTCTCTGGTTACTCCCAGATTGTTGTTGTTTGGAGGTGGGGTTCGATCACATACTTGAAAATGCACCATGCAATAATAGAGACTTAGGAAGATTCTGTACAACAAACCTGCATCTCCCAAAAAGTCAGACTTTTCCCATTAACCAAAGTGATGGGAAAGTGTTCTGAGAAGTGTGGGATAACACTTGCTTTGATGCAACATCATCTAACCTCTCCAGAAACAACTAGAATGAATGTTCTTTTTTAAAAAATAAATAAATAAATAAAAAGCAATGGACATAATCTATTCTCCATGCAAACAAATCAGAATGAATGCTCAATAAACAAGCCATCTTGCAGCGTGCTCTGTCTTTCTCTGTGTCTCTCTCTCAAATGCTCAGGATATCCAGTGGGAGCAACTTCTGGGGCTACCAGTAGGAATGTCCAGTTCTATACTCTATGCCCCAAACTATAGCCCTGGTGGTTTAAGACACAGGTGCTTCATGTCTTAAACTACCAGGGCTATAGTTTGGGGCATTTCCCTAGACCAGCCTTGGGAAACCTCAGACCTGAAGGTTGAAGGTGGCCCTCCAGTCCTCTGTATCTGTCCCTCAGGACTCTCCCCAGGTCATGCTCTCCACTCTCCTTGGGTGCTTTTGTCTGGATGAAATGTTCTCTTGAATTGGGACAGTGCCTCTTAGGGCTCCTATAGTCCCACTGCATTCTCCCAGGCAGGGGTGCCAACTTGAATAAAATATTGGTAAGGTAAGCCATGCCCCACATAATCGATCACATGACATAGTGCATACACACGATTTGAATGGCAGTGCCTATGAACTTTGGGGGCCCCAGCTCCCTTAAATATCTTATGGGGGGGCAAAGATCCCTAGGAGTTGGCTCCTATGCCCCTGAGGAAAAGTTCTATTTAGTGCTCAATTGGAGCATGCAGGAATTTTCTGGATTGACATTTGCTCCAAATTAGCACTAAAGAGCGGGTTTTCCCTGAGAAAGAAGCAAGGCAAGGAGGAACCGCTTGGACCCATGCCTAGAAAGCGCATGCCAAGCAAAAAACCACTTGGACCCATGCTTTCTAGGCACGGGTCAAGTGGAAGTGTGAGTGAGCCATAACTTGCCAGGTTGGAGGATAAAAAGTTTTTTTGGGGGGGGTAGAAATCTCTCCATTTTGTGTATTTAGAAAGTGGCCTACTGAATCAACCACTCACATCTGTTGCTCCATGCACTTTTGCTTTAGGCCCTTCCCACCACTGATGCATGGACCCTGAAAGTTGTCCATGGCTGAATGTGGTTGTTGGGCTTAAAAGGGTCTCTACTTCTGCTCTAGGATGTAAAGAGATCCCAGGTATTGGAATGACTCTACCCAGGTTGGCCATTGGCTTGCCTCAGACTTCCTGTCCAAACACAAAGTTTGCCTGAGCAATTATTGTTTTCTCCTCTCTATTTTCTCCTAACCTGCTGGCTCCATACCCATCAACTGCCCCAGAAAAACTGGGACATCCCATTTTCTCCTATGAGAACATGGGCAGCCATTTTGGGAGCCTTGCTCTGTCATGATTTTGGGCCGAGATCTCACTCCGGGTCTGTGTTTGGTCTCCAAAGGTATGAAAACTATTAGCCTAACTGAAATGATGGTATGTGCAACATGGCTGAAATTGTAACAGTTTGACAGAATGATAGAAATTCAACTAAGAATTATTTTCTGCAGTTGGGTCGTGGTACCAGTTTTTGAGGGACGGAGGAGGTCAGTGCCATGGTAAGTTCTCTGACTGCCCTTGTGTTCCTCTCTCTCTCTCTCTCTCTCTCTCTCCCCACACACACACACACACACACACACTCATTCTGCCATTTCCACACTCTTTTGGAGAGAGTTTAAAGTGGAATGAATGTTCCTTGCAATCAAGCATGTATAATTATCTCACCAGAATGTAAAGCTGGGTATTTATCCAGGCTGCAAGCTTTGAGCAATTTAATTGATGGATTAATGAGCAAAATCTTAAAAGGGGGCAAATCCCCCTTTGATTAATCAGTTGGGCTCAGAAGAAGCCAAAGACCTAGGATTCTCAAAGGACAAGCTGCCCGCAGGCCCCAAAGATGCAACAGCTCCCTCTTTGCTAGGCTGATGAAAAGGAACTGTTAAAATAGCATATCCTCCTTCTACTTGGCATCCAAAATCAACAAATATTTTAGCTTTCTGTACGAAATTATTGCAGAATTATTCAGAATGAAAATAAGGACCCCAGGCAACTGAAACTCACTGGAACTAATGTAGCAGCATAGTAGCTAAAGCCCCGATGAACAGAGTGAGACAGGACCTGCCTTATTATGGGTGAAGCTACCCTTGCACCTGGTGTGAAGGTGCCAGCTGTTGAAAAATGCTGTAGCTAGACTGTTGGTGGAGATAGACTACTGTCAACACATAACTCTGGTTCCTAAAAGCTCACATTGGCTGCCCATATGTTACCAAGCCAAGTTCAATGTTCTTGTATTAACTTGCAAGGCCCTGAACAACTGGGGTCCACAATATCTTTAGGACTACCTGCTCCCTTATATCCCTGCTCAGTCAATGAGATCCCCTTTGGTGTTCCCCAGTGGCACAGATGAACAGCTCGTAACTACCAGAAGATGTGAATTCAGTGTAGCGGGCCCAAGCTTGTGGAACTCCCTACCTAATAAAAGTTAGAAAGGCACTCTCTTTTCTGAACTCCAGATGCATGATGAAGTCCCCCTTATTCCAGCAGGCATTTTAAGTTAGTTTGAGTTTCTCTTTGGTTCTTTGATGATTTCTTTGGTTTTGTTACATTCCCTGTATGGTTTATTTTTATGTACACCACATAGAAATTCTAATGATTAAGCAATATGTAAATGTAATAACTAAATACATTTCCAGTGGCAGATGCTGGGGGGTGGGGAGGGGTGCAGCAGTAAAGGTTGGTCCACTTGGGGAAATGAGGCACTGCCCCACCAACCACAGACTATCCCCAATAACTAGTGCAGTGTGGATTCAGTGAATAGGAGGGCAAATGGGAGAAAACTAGAATTAATCTGCTCTGCCTCCACTTAATAATGGACACCCTGACTTCCACCTTGCCAGTTCCACTGGGCACCAGACACCACTAAGTGGCATCAGTGTGATGGGTCTCATCAGAACACCAAGACCCCAACAGCTGCCTGAGCATGATGGATGCTGGACCTGATTGTCCCCATGAGGGACTGACTGGGAGTTACTTTTCTAAGGCCACCAAATGAATCCCTGATAGAGGCAAGAGTTGAATTGAAGGGCTTTCTGGTTCATTGCTCAACCTTGTGCAGCCTAGTCCCAGGCCTGTTTACACAGGAGTCAGTCTCACTGCAGAGCCAGCCAAAGGTATTTTGATGCCTGAGGCAAAGGATGAGATAGTGCCCCTATTACCCTTCCTGAACCCCTCTGCTGGAGATTTAGAGTTACTTTTGCAACTACAGCCACACACAGCATAGGACCATTGGTCCATCTACTTCCCCAGGCACTCCATCTGAGACCTTCTGCATGCAAGGCTATGGCATTTCCCTAAATGAGCCTGCTTTCCTTATGGGCAGTGCATGAAGCTCCCTGTTGTCAGGGTTGAAATGAGATTCAGCTATCAGTCCAGTCAGCTTCTCTGCATAGGTAAGTGGGACACTATCTCATCCTTTGCCTCAGACTGGCAGTGATATACCAAAAGTTGTTGAGCTTTTTTTAGGAAGCCAGAGTTGTTGAGCTCCCCCCATTTTTTATTTAATTATTTTGGGGGGGCCCACAATCCTCCAAGATCATCTACCACGAACCCCCCGTGATCGACCAGAAGATCGCGAACTACCTGTTGGTCATCCCTGACCAGTGGTTCTTCTTGTTCCCCAGGCATGGAACTAGGTTCTCTACCACCAATCTATGGTCTTTCCAAAGGAAATCTGCTTCTTTTTGAAACAGTTTAAAAGGAAAAATCCTGCTCTGCTCTGGATTCAGGCTTAGCCATGCTTAGAGTAGACCTGACAGGGCTCAAGTCAGCCCAGCTCAGCATTATATTGTTGTGAGACATGGTATTGGTCAACGTGGAAAGGCCCTTTATCAAAAGCATTTCACGAGCATGCTGACATACAGCGTTAACAGGAATATAGGAAGCTGCCTTATACCAAGTCACATCACCAATCCATCTCCTCAGTATTGTCTGCACTGACTGGCAGTACATCTCCAGGGTCTCATACAGGAGACTTTCCCAGCCCTGTCTCAAGAAAACAGGGAGTGAAACATGGACCCTAATCCTAACCTTCCCCGGGGCAGGGAAATGATGTTTTAAATAATTTTAATTCTCTAGCCCAGAAAGTTAAAAGCCAAATTTGCATGGCCATCAGACGCAATGTCTTTACTGAAAATTAGCTTCCTTGCTATCCCAGTATTCAGGTTGCCAGAGCCTCCGAGGAACTGACTGCACTGAACATGTTGAAAAGCATGCTACTGTTGCTTAAAGTTCAGCATAATGATCTCAGAAACAATGGAGAATTCTGTACTTACCCTGACTTTCTGCACCAAAAGACTTAAAATCCAGGGTAAGTGATGGTCTCCACGGATATGATTCCAGAAGTCCATCCAATACTCCTCTACAAAGCAAAGCACGGACATCAGCCTAGCACTTGCATGGGAATATGTTCCGAAGGCTGGTTCAGATATTGACAAGTGGGGTACTATTTAGCAGAGTCATAGCCATATAGGAAATGGCCAAATAGGAAATATGAACACTTATAAAAGTAATCTAATTTCCACTTTCCTTTATGGAGATGGGGGGGCGGATTACAGAATTCAAGCAAAATATCCCTGCATCACCCTTTCTTGCCCACGATCCTAAGAGACCAAGGCATACAAAATAGGATATTGTTGAGATTATCAGTGTGTCAACCTACCAATGCCTATATACCAAAAGTTGATTTACACACACACACACACACACACACTCCTTCACGGAAAATGAAGGCCTCAGTTCTGATAGGGGCAATCCACATGCAAATTTCCACACTAGGAATGCACCCTTCTCATCAAAGGGGAGTACAAGTGGCTCAGTCACACCAGGTGTGAAGCTTCTGGGGCATTGCAGAAAGTGCTGCAACTATGAAGTTCAATGGAAGGTGAGTGATGGGGGGGGCACATTGGATTTTGTGCAGGGTGCCACAGTGCAGAAGCCTCTGCATCCAGCAAGTTTGTAGACAGGAAGCAAGGCAGTTTTATTGCACTAAACAAACAGATGTAGTGACAGACTATTCACATATAGCAAACAAATAGTCTGCAAATAATCTAATTTGGCCCTCAAGAGGTAGGGAGGGTTGTTTTTGTAAGGTGGATGTCTCAGAAGCTTTAGTGAGCATGCAGTACTTCCTGCGTGGCTTTTGAGATTCTGGCAAAAATGTATCTTACTATGCACATGAAAGTAGTATGTGACACATAAATCAGATTGCAACTGATTAATCTTTTTGTTTGTTTGTTTGTTTGTTTGTTTGTTTGTTTAATTGCTTAGCTTAAAATGTGCTCCAGCTTGTTAACTTAAGGAAAGCCTTGCAGCTGGATCAGACCAAAGGCCCATCTGCCCCAGATTTCTGTTCTGACAGTGCCCAACCAGATGCCCATTATGGGAAGCCCACAAACAAGACACAAGAGTAACACCAACATTCTCCCCACTTGTGGTTCCCAGCAACTGGTATTCAGAGGCATACGTCTGAGTATTAGAAATAAACATGAAATATTGTGAAAACTGCGAGTAATAAGGACCACTTTAAAATAGGAGTCTCTCCTCCCTTTCTCCCACATTGGGTGCCTCCTGCAACACCCATGGGGTCATCAGAAAACAAGGTGAGGGGTTGCACAGAGGGGGTTCGTAACTATTGTTTTTACCTGTGCAAATATTATTTATTATTTCATATGTGTATATGCAGCTTAATAGCAAAGCAGACTAAGTGTTTTAGAAAAATAACAGATGAAACTGGAAAACTGCAATATTATGTAATAGAAAACTACAAGGCAAAAGCATATACTACTCCATTGGTTAACCGATTATTACACTGAAACTCATACTATCAATTAGTTAGGATAGCCTTAATGGATCTGGTCCCCTCAAGATGTTTTGAACCACAGCTCCTCCCACCAGCACTTGCTGGGGCTGATGGGAGTTGTAGTCAAAACATTTGGAGATCACTAAGCTGACCAAGGCCGGACTATGATGCCTTTAACTAGTGGACAGCCCAGCAAATAAATGGTAATAATTTACCTGTTTCTTCCAGGGTCTCTAAACCCTTTAGCAAAGGGATTCCGGTCAATCTTCAGTTTTGTTATCTGTGGACATTCAGAGGAAAACAACAAAGAAAGAATTGTTTGAGTGCTGTAACCAGGTCAGCAAACTTTTTCAGCAGGGGACCGGTCCACTGTCCCTCAGACCTTGTGGGGGCCAGACTATATTTTGAAAAAATAATAATGAACAAATTCCTATGCCCCACAAATAACCCAGAGATGCATTTTAAATAAAAGCACACATTCTACTCATGTAAAAATACCAGGCAGGCCCCACAAATAACCCAGAGATGCATTTTAAATAAAAGGACACATTCTACACATGTAAAAACACGCTGATTCCCGGACCATCTGCAGGCTGGATTTAGAAGGCAATTGGGCTGGATCTGGCCCCTGGGCCTTAATTTGCCTAACCATTAAGTAACCCAACACTAGAATGGCAAAAACCTAGTTAGACAGAATGTCATTCATTTGCAGGAGAAATTTGATTCCATTCACACTTAAAAGGTTATCTATGAAATCTGCACTTTCTGAAACAATATGAAACCTAACTACAGTCATCCTTCAAAATTCACATTTACCTGAATTTTGTGTTGCAGTTCTCCAAACAATGTTTTTTAAAAAATGCATATATTAGGGGGAAGTGCATAAAAATAAATGTAGTAGTGAAAAACACATGAAAAATGCATTATATTAAGGGAAATTGTTTGCAAAAATGCATACAAAACAGCATGCAAAAATGTTTGCTGGGAGAAATTCACACTAAAATGCTGATTAATTATTCTTTTTTTAATGCAGATTGCTGCAGAAATGTGGAGAAATGAATTGAATATTGGATAACTGAGAAATGGACAGAACAAAACCAACACATCCTTCCATCCCTACTCATATGTGCCCAATGTTAGAACAGGTTTCTAAGAAATTGTCACAATTACCCTACATATAAACATGAGCTTTTCGTGGTCACTAGAGTCCATTTTGTGAGTTTTGTGGAGCACTGTCCTCAGTAAGGGGCTTTAGATATACATGAGTGTAGGGAGAGGGATATAAATGGTGAGACCTTGGGAGGCAATTGTTCTTTGAGTCTGTTCCACTCCTCTTGAGTCCCAGTTTAACTAATAATCATTTGTTGGGTTAGAACGTGTTGCATTTGCTACACCTTGGAAGTCATTCCTTGATTGATTGATTGATTGGTTGGTTGGTTGGTTGGAATTCATATACTGCTAATATTTTTTTAACCTCTAAGCAGTTCACATAAAATAAAATACGCATTTAAATTATCAATAAAAAGTCAGAAGTAAAAGCAAGTTCATTTTTAAAAGATACAAAACATAAACAAAACCAGCATAAAATTGCAAATTAAATTGTGCATCAGCTTTTCATATCTGGATAGGCTTTTGCAGACTCATACCCTAATGTTACTGGACCACACTTCCTAAAGAGAAAACTTCACCAAATCAGCAGTTTTGATGTGATCTTATGCATGCTCACATCAGTATACTTTCAGTACTATTCTAGTACTACAGTTCTATTGATGCATCCATGCAGTTTGGCCTACTCCTGGTTAAACCACCAAACAATTTATAAATAATAATTATCATTCAATTTATGTCACCTAAAGATCTTAAATATGAGCAAATAGTTTGTGAGCAAGAAGTGACCTCACATGCATGATATAGTAGGGATTGTTTTCAGTGAGTTTTTTTTATTCTATTAATAACCTTGTTGTATTCTTGTTTGTGTTGTCCCTGTTTTTAATTCTAACTCAAAATAAAATCCCATGAGTGCCGCCCCCTGCAAAGAAAACACCCCCCCCAAAAAAAGAATTTTGGTATAAATAACTGAACTAGGAATGAGAGAGGGATTCATTTGGGTTTCACAAAGTCCACACTTCCCTAGCCCAAACATGTGAATCGGAACACAGCTCTTCTTTGCCTTTGTGTGCCCTTGTTTGGATTTTGTGATACAGTCTTCCAACTAAAGAATGCAAACAAAAATGTGTATATAAGTACAAAGGATGTGGAAGGAACTCATCCATCAGCCAAAATAACATGGATAAATCCACTGTACAGAGGAAACCTGACTTGCAAAAATTGTATGACAGGAGAAATGTGCCTGAAAATGCATATGAATTTTCATGTGGGCTTAAAATATAAAAATATCTGAAAAGTATGCAGAAATGGGGCAGACAGACCAAACTTAACACTGGAAAAATAAGAAACTAAATTACATGTAAATTGACAGATTCATTCACATTAACATCAAGTTTTGTGCAGGGGCAGCATTTAATCAATATTTCACTCACCCTAGACATTGAAACAAACTGCCATTTGGTCTGTGCGCGCACACACACACACTTTTCCATATACAGAAGCTGACCTTATTGGTAGCGCCTTCCACCACATCTATCTAGCTTAGAGGGTACAGGCCAAGACTATGCGCACTAGGAATAGGTGAATGCATCAATTTCAGTTTCTCTCAGTTTCTCACTTTTCCTGTGTGTGTTCAGTTCTCCACCTTTCCACATCAGCTTGTATTTTTTTTAAAAAAGGAGTTCTCATGAAACTCCATTGGGATTTTAGTGTGATTTTCTCCTAATACACACATTTTAGCATGCTAGTTTTTCTACTGTACACATTTTTACAGAGCAGTTTTCCATAATAAAATGCATTTCTGTGTTAATTTATTTGTGTGGGGTTTTTTTTTTAATGCATCAGTCCCACTTTTTTGGCGGGGAGAAACTACCTTAATTTGCACAATTCCAAATTCTGAAGAGAAATCAATGGAAGTACCATTTTTGAAGCATCTCTTAAGTAACTTGCCTGCTGGTTTTGATAGGCTGTGACGGTGGTGAATTCAGTTTCTTTAAATGAGAAGGTCTGAACGCCTGCTGCTGGCAGTGACTGGATCTGGGACAGATCAAACCGGGAATCCTGGACAATGACATGGACTCTTGGCTTGTATTTGTGCATGGACTGCAGAATAATCTGTAAGAGAAAACAGGCAAATGTCTTTAGAAACCTCAGGTCTAGGGACCCAGTGCTACTATATCTGGCTCTTGGGACTCTCCCAGCCCTATTCTGTGTCCTCCTTGAGTGCCACTAACTTGCATGGGTGGGTGGGTGAAAGGGTACATAGAAGCCTCTGGCTTTTGCATGGCTGAAATGTAGGCAATTGTACAGAGGTAAGAATCACATCCATTGCTCCACCCACTTTTGCCCCTGGCCATGCCTACCACTGGCATGTAGCCCCCAGAAATGGAGATGGGGCCCTTGGAATGAAAACATTTTCCCATCTCTGGTTTATAGCATCAGTGCTGATCTAGGTTCCAGGGAAGGTGACCTTGACAACGGGGGTGTTAAGGAGCTCCATCATTGGATCTTTATGCCCTTACGTTACCAGAGCAGGATGAGAGGGACAGGTGCTGCAGCATAAAGGGGCTCCAGTTATGCATTTTCTCCTATGTGGCCCTTGCATCACTGTGGCGACTTTATGGTAAAGGTAAAGGGACTGGGACCCCTGACCATTAGGTCCAATCTTGGCTGACTCTGGGGTTGCGGCGCTCATCTCACTTTATTGGCCAAGGGAGCTGGCGTACAGCTTCCAGGTCACGTGGCCAGCATGACTAAGCCGCTTCTGGTGAACCAGAGCAGCGCATGGAAACGCTGTTTACCTTCCCACTGGAGCGGTACCTATTTATCTACTTGCACTTTGATGTGCTTTCGAACTGCTAGGTTGGCAGGGACCGAGCAACGGGAACTCACCTGTCGTGGGGATTCGAACTGCTGACCTTCTGATCGGCAAGTCCTAGGCTCTGTGGTTTAACCCACAGTGCCACCCGAATCTCTTGACTTCATGGTAGAGGAACTCATACACTTATGCACAGAGACACAACTTTCTCTCCCTCACTCGCAGTTTCTTAAATTCCAGTCTGCAAAGCATGTGGGGCTGTGACTCTGAATGTAATAATGCTGAAAGCTAGATGGACTACCAACTTCCTAACTGATTGTAGGTTTTGTTTTGTTTTAATTGGCATGAGCTCCCCTAGAAATTTTGGTAAAATGAAGAGTGCCACATATAATGGTTTCAAATAAACACACATATAAGGAAATCTTAGGGTAGCCCTAAAAGTTATTTCTTGTTCCAACAAGAAAACTCTGTCCATCCCTCCCTTCTTCTCCCATCATAGCAGTGCACCCTCCAATCCACACCTACATGCCCTTTGTCGTCCATCTCATTGTTGGTCAGTTTCACCCGATCAAAGCTGATGATCTGTCTCATCCAGGTCTCTCCAGAGCAAGGGGAATCTGGGTGGATGTAAAGCCGGGGTGTGATACAAGAATGGTCTGTGTTTCCGGCCACCATCCACTGGGAGCTGTGGTAGACATACCTTCATAAGGGACAGAGGTCGTGAGGTTAGGAATCAGCAGAACAATCTGATGCAGAACCCACATTAAGTCCTGCATTTGGCTTCTCAACACACATCATAAGCACATTAGATGCACCTGCCAGATCAGACCAATGGCCTATATAGTCTAGCATCCTCTTCTCACAGTCAGACTCTGCCTGTAGGAAACCCATAAACATTCTTGAGCACTCCCCCCTAAAAAAATTATGCCCACTTTCTGGGTTATGCAGAGTTCACATGATTGGCAGCAGTGATGAGTCACCTGGCAATCAAAGCCTACCCTGTCAAGAGCCCTTAAAAACGGAATGCCGAGGACATTCCTTCATCTCTCACTGCCCATTCAGAAGGCTGCTTTTTTATTACCTTTGCCACTTCTTTAAACTGTTTTTTGTTGGTAGCCTATTATTCCTTTTCTGGTGTAAGGAGAGACCAAGAAGCTCAATGAAAAAAAACTAGTAAGATCTTCACTTGATGCTACCCTCCAACATCAGTAGCAGTAGCAGATTAGTAGTTGATCTCTAACAATAATGATTAAATACTAAATCCTATAGTTGCAGTTTCCTCCCAGTTCTTTCTGTTCTGGGGTCCTGTGAAATGTGCAGGGAGTTTGGGGGCATTGCCTGTGCCTCATTATAAATTCAGGGCTCCTTCAAAGGGATTCCAAAGAAACTGACCAGGTGTGCAGCATCCCCAGCAGTCAGGTTTTTAAAGCCTCCATTTCCTTGCCGGACACTCCATGGGACCGTAACTGGCTTGCGATCGTTAGGTCTCAGCCTTCCGCCCTATACTCTTACCCCTGCTTTGCCCTCAAAGAGATTATGGTTCTATTTAGGACTCAACGCTTGCAAAATTCGCTTCCTGAAATTCACTCACGTCAGTTAGGAGGACAAGGACTGGTATCTGAACCCTGAGTATGTTTCTCTCTGCAGCGGACATATCAATATTTTTTCACCTTTAGAACACCGACAGAAGGACCATATGCATGCTTACTCAGAAGTAAGGCCCAATGAGCTCTATGGAGCGTACTCCCAGGCAAGGGTGTATAGCATCGCAGTGTTAATAATCCTATTCTTTTGTTTTAGGTAGTAACTCCTAGGGAACTCGGGGAACTTCCTTATGTATAGGGTTGCGCTGCGAAAGCAACGACAGAGCAAAAACGCGCCACATATTTAAAGCACGGTTAAAGCATATGGCTTCTTGCAAAGAATCATGGGAACCGCAGCTTTCCTCTCACAGAACTAGTTTCCAGCGTGCTTTTCATATGTGTTGAATATCCTAAATGTGTGGCGCGGATCTTCCCAAAAGGAACACCGAAACTGGCATTATTATTATTATTTTTAGAAAGTATCTCTGATTTCCGTGAGCGATTTAAACAACAAGATTACATATCCCGCTTTGAAGCCTTTAGGACGTAACACGCTCACTGTTGCATTAGCTTAAGACTCCTGCTGCCTTTCATGTGGGAGAGAAAGGCAGCTTTTTCAAAAGGCAGCCCCTGATCTCAACCTGTCAAATTATTGTCGAAGGCTCCCTGAGGTCCTGCGAACTGTTTGTTTACTTTGCAACTTTCCTCAAGCCCTTTGGGGAAGGGCCGTAGCTCAGCGGTTAGGACGTCTCTCTTGCCCCGGCACCTCCTCCTGGTAGGGCTGGGAATGTTTCCCTGAAACCCGGGCGCGCAGGCAATAATCATACTCAGTATAAGGCAATTTCCCGTTTCCTAAGAGTCCTGATCAAAAGCACCTATATTGGAAAGAGGTACTGTAGAAACCAATGTGCACGTCGTCTCCCAGACTAGCGGTGGAAGGAACAGCACGGGGTGAAAGTAAACGCGACTGTGGGGCTTCTGTCTGTGTCACATAGAATCTCGCGCCACGGGGACGCAGGCCCGCCGTGTGTACGTATACTTCTTTAGGCAGATCTGAAGTGTGTATATTCCTTCGTGCAGCGCATAGTTAACCTGTGGAACTCCCTCCCTCAGGAGGCACTGGCAGTGATGGCCACCAACTCAGGTGACCTTTTTTTTTTTTTTAAAGGTTTAGATAATTTCATGGAGGACAAAGCTGCTAGCCTCGATGGTTTTGTTCTACCTCCACGGTCAGGGTCGCTATGTATCGGAATACCATTTGCTTGGAACTGCTGCTGTTCTCAGTTCCTGCTTGCAGGCTTCCCACAGGCTTCTGGTCGGCCCACAGGATGCTAGCCTAGATGGGCTATAGACCTGAACCAGCAGGCCTGACTTATTATGGAGTCTGAAGGAGTTTGCTTAGGCTGCAGTGTTAACCGCACCTGCATGGAAGTAAGCCCCACTGAATTTAGTAGGGCTTACTTTTGTGCAGACACAGGACTGCGCTTTAAGAACTCGCATTTAGAACTGACTTGGATCTTAGCTTTCTGTCAGCGTATGAAGAGCCCTGCCTACAATCCGTTTTTGACTGCTGTTTTCAATGCGGATTTAAAATCAGTTGGAATTAATGGGGGAAATATCTCCTTGGGTCCAGATACTTCAGAGTATTTGGGATGTCGTAAATTCGTGCAAACAGCGAGCTATTGATATATTTTGCCACTGGGTCAGAAAAGCTTAAAAAAGAGGAATCGGTTTACGATTACTCCTCATAACTCCGGCCCTGAATGATTTGAGGAGACGCGGTTATTTCCTAGAAGGGGGGCGGGGGGGATCCTGCTGAATATGAGAAAATAGGCATAAGAGCGGACTGCAGTTTCACGTGTAAGTTGATGGTCATATTATGAAATTAGGAAGGGAGCGGGGGAAGTATTTGAAGAGAAAAGGGAATCCTGCATGATGCGCATCTGCTTGCTTTAAAATGGCTTCCAGGCCTACTGGGGTGGAGGGGCAGGTCCCTTCGACATCAGCGGGACTGATTCACATGTACACGTAGGAAGGAACCATCCTGCAACTGGCAGTTGAAGCTGGGAAAAGATTGAGTGTGAGGTGATGCTACCATATGCGCATCCCTTTCTGTGCTGGTTGGGAGCTGGAGGCCCTGACACAAGCAGGAAGCACGTCGGCATCACCTCCTGCTGAAGTCATCCGCAAATGTGAACTGACTCTATATCTTACTTAGCTTCCAAAGGAGAACGCTCCGCGTTTTACCTGTATCTTTTCGAATCTACCGGCACCACGTCTATGGCGATGTAATATTGCTTCATCGAATCCAGACCTTTCACTTTGACTCTGACCGACGGAAACATTCTCCTGCGAGAAGCGTAAGAAGAGCAATAGGTTTCATTTGGCATCTAGTTCCTTGGTTCTTTTCTTATCCCGCTCTGTCTCCACTGCTCAAGGCTCATCGCGCAACTGTCCACAGCCATACCTGAAAGGATACCTGCTGCTTTATGAGCCCCGAAAGTCTCAGGCCGGCGAGCCTGCTTTTCACACCGCCAGCCCTGAGCGCATTCCCTGTGACATTTGCAGGAGCACTGGAGTTGAAGGGACACCCCGTTCCCTTTGCATTGCAAGGCTTACGGCTGATGGGACTTGCAAGAAATGGGCATGATCCTGTGCGCGCTGACTTGGGAGTAAGCCCCCTTGAACTCAATGGAAATTACTTTCGAGTAAACATGAACTGGTTCCGGCTGAGTTTCCCTCTTTTGCTGCTCCCGATATTATCATCACCCCCATTCCCTGTCTCATCAGAAGGGGAGAAATGATCTACTTTCAGGTATAGTAGAATTAAAGAATTGTAGGATTGGAAGGGACCCCCAAGGGTCATCTATTCCAACCCGCTGCAGTGCAGGAATCTTGCCCACGAACCACAAACCTTCTGGTAAACAGCACTGACACGTTGCGCCACAGAGACCTGGTAGAAACCGGCGTGGAAGTAATAGTTTGAACCCTTCCTAATAGTAAGAACATAAGTAGCTGTAGTGTTACGCAAAATACTACTAGAAGTCGTAAATTGCTGGTTTCTGTCATAGTGAATAAACCCGATTAAAAGTGCTTAGTATTTCGTTTCGTTTCCCAAAAGCTTTCTATATCCGCGAATGCGTGTGAAATCATTCAGGCACCATTATCAATGCTAAATCTTAAAACATGCTTCGTGAGGGAAAGGATCCCAACCACAGCAGGATTTTTCTCTCTCTCTCCCTCCAACAGATTGTCAGTAGGACCAGACTGTTCGTTTACCAAGCCTTGGGCTGCGGCTGAAAGGTAGGAAGGAAAGTCTCAAAAGGACCGAAGACCAAGGGGAGGAGAGAGTGGGGATGCAAGAGCATGTCGATGTGCTAGCTCTGTAGAAAGGTTTACCAGAAAAACAAGTTTCCAGCCCAGCAGTGAGGAACAGAGTGCCAGCAATGGTGTAGTGGTGAGAATGTTGGACCAGGACTTTTCAGGGTTCAAATCCTCACTCAGCCATGAAGCTTCCTGGGTGACCTTGGGCCGGTCACCATCTTTCAGCTTAACCTACTTCACAGCGTTGTTGTGAGGATGAAATAAAGAAAAGTTAGGATGTGAATGTAACACTAAATAAACATGTCAGATGTTCCTGAACTATACAACTCGCACTGCATCTGACTGTTGGTCATGGTGGCTGGGGAGACATGAAGTTCAGAAATACCTGGAGGGCCACAGGTTCCCCATCCTCCTCTAGTCCCCTAACAAATGTGTCTGCAATCCTATACTTGGGGTGTGTTCACATTACCATTTTAGAAGGCCGTGAAGTTGTTAATATAAACACAACCTTTCACAGGTCTTTTCTCTCTCCCTGTTCACATCAGCAGGGCTTCATAGTGTCACATTTGTTTTGTTTGTGTACACACTACAGGATGGGGGTGTCTTTACCCTGTGCAAAGGAGGCTATAGATAAATTAGAAAAGGCTTGAATGCTCCAACCCATGTGAATCTGGTTTAAGAAACAATGCATCAAAAAAACCAGCTGTGCTTAAAAAAAAAACCCTGCAGGAAATGTGCATTTTAAAAAAAATATAATGGCCTGTGTGTACACGGCACAGAAATCTGGGTAAAAACCCAACACAGTGAGTGCACAGTAATTGAGAGTGTGAACTCAGCCTTAGTTAGCTAGGAGTGAGTCCCAGTGCATTCAATAGGGCTGTTATCTGAGTAGAGTTGTATAGAATTCCAGTGCACCTCTGCCTTTAAGGCACCACAGAACTCCTTACCCCATGGACCTGGCTTTCCACTGCAGTGCTGAGGTCAAGGGCAAGGCATGGATAGTTTCCCACATTTTGAAGTAAGTGAAGTAAAACATATTACCCTCTGCATAGCACTTTTCTGAAGACCATTCCGTCCACACCACTGCACCTGCTATGCAGGGCAGAACCTTTTATTGCCCTAGACTTCAGCGGTAGCTAACATGGTGCCCTCCAGATGCTACTGGACTTCAACTTGACCATAGGCCATGCTGGCTGAGGCTGATGGGAAGTCTAATCCAACAACATCTGGGGGAAGTGCAATGGCTTCCCATTGTTTTAATAATCTTGCAAGGCATGTTATGTGAGTTGTTTTAAATAAGGGGAAATGTCTACATTCTGACTTGGCCAGGAATTTTTACTGCACTCTGACTCCTCACAACTCTTCTCTCTTGAGGATGAGGCTGTCAATGGCTACTAGCCATGATGGCCACGTTCTCTCTCTATTGTGTGAAGCAGTAGCCTCTGAATGCCAGTTGCTGAGAATCACAAGCAGGGAGAACTTTGTTGCACACAGGTGCCACTTGCAGGTTTCCCAAAGGTTGAGAACAAGATGTCTTTGGCCTGATCAGACTGGTCCCTTAATATTTTATTATGACCTTCATAAATTAATCTCTCTTCCTCCCTCTCTCTGCAAAGAACTGCAAAAATGTTCAGCCAAACAGCAATTGGGTTCACAAAGTTAGCAAAAGCATTTAAAGCCATGCATTTCATCCATCTAGCTACTGAGTGCCAAAAACACTAGAATCTTGAGATTTGGAATTCCACAGCACACATCCTCAGGCATGGATGTTCGAAAACAAATTTTTAAAAGCACCTTCCTTCCTTCCTTCCTTCCTTCCTTCTTTCTTTTAATGACAGCATACTTGTGACAAGGTTGGCCTTCTCTCTAGGAAGGCTTATCAGAAATGTGTTGTGTCTCTTTCTGACCTTATAGTAGAGGGCAGGTAAGAAATCAGATAAATCAAGTACTCAGAAGTAAGTCCTGCTTGGCTTAAAGGGCCTTACTCCTAAGTAACCATGGGCAGGATTGTAGGCAGATCAAATCCATGCACAGGTTTTCTCCAGTAGTTAAAAAAAAGGACACCTACTTAGGAGTAGGTTGCCTTGAAATGCACTGACATCAAACCAAGGATGTTTAGGATCCTGATGTTAGGCTCCTCACATTCTTCCTTCTTAGTGACATGTCACCCAATCGTACTAACTCAGTGGCAGAGCACATGCTTTGATTTTTGGTATCTGCATTTAGAACCTGGGAAGATTATCTTTCTAAAACCCTGGAGAGCCGCTGCTGGTCAATGTAGACAAACTGACAGTATAAGGCAGCTTCTTCTGTCCCTTTAAGGCTTCACTTGGAAGTAAGTCTCACCGAGTTCTTACTCCCATGTAAACGTACATGAAATTGCAGCTTCAAGCTTTGCCTTAACAGCTCGGCCTTGGTGATAGTGACTCCTCATCCACTAATTCATGGAGCTCTGGTTTGGGAATCGAATAGATTTAATGGAGAAAAGAACCTGCAGAAGGTTATTATAGTCATTTCTCTTGATCAGCGAAGGATGAACTTGTGAGAGAGGCGGTGGTAAGAGAAAGAATATCGTGGGAAGAGATTGTCTTTTTATCGATTCAGTGGTGCAGTTAACGTAATTTTAGATTCTGGGTTCAGTGATTTACAGCCCTCCCCGCATTTAAGGATGGGAATATATTTTACTTCCTTTTCACCGAAATCTGCTAAGTTGGCCCTGCAGAGTTTGCGAGCCCGGGACTTGAACAACCTTTTATTTAAAATGATATTAGAAAATGGCTACTGCATTGTCGGTGCGGGAGACCAGTGATAAGTTTTACGCATATCACAAAATTCCCATAGTAAAGTCCTCGGCCACCGAATTATCCATTAGCTCATCAATTTTCTCTCACTCTCCCAAATCACGATCTCACCAGGATCACTGTTATTAAGGAGGAGCTTTTCGCTACAGAGTTTATTCCAGGTCGTGAGGAGAGGGGAGCCTGCATTATAGACTAAGGACAGGCGCTAACGATATACATATCTGCCTGTGCTTCCCCCATCCCCCCTACTGCAAATATTTGGTTTGAAATAAGGAAAACAGATTATCTTAACTCTAAGCGTTAGGGTGTGTGTGTGTGTGAAGGAATTACCCTGCAAGATTATAAGGAGCTTCGGTTCAGGATTGAGCAAGGACCAACACACACCCGCGCCTCTAGAGAACTGGAGCAGGCAAAGTAATTGTTAGGGTAGATGGAACAACGGTTCTGAATTGTGATTTATGTAAGGCACTTTCAGACTTTGCTGTATCCCTTCGCCTTACCATGGACGGAAATTCTGCCTCAGACACTGAGGTGCTGAGTTTAAAAAATGTAACCTCTGGCAAGAAAGGTCCCTTGATTTCCCCGTTTCGTTTTCATTGGAAATAAAAGGGGGAGGGGGGATAGCGACGCCTCTCCCTGAGTTGTGGGGAGAACAAATTTGTCTCCGTTGTTAAAATAAGTCTCCCCCACCCTCTAGAACACAGTGTGGCTTACTTCTGAGTAAGCATGCCATTTGTGCATAGTATGGGCACGACCCACCCCGACCAAAGCACTATCAAGATCAATCAGTTACTTTCCAGGAGAGAGTTGAGCAAGCGCTGAATTATTTGGCGTTGAAACCGGCGGGACTTGGAAAGTGTCCCTCAGAAACAGGATATTAATAAGAATGAATGAAAGGTCGAATGTACCAGAAACCACCCGTGTGTGTTAAAAGAAAGAAAAAGGCCTTATAGTACAATCCTATACATGTCTATTCTGAAGTAAATTCGACTCAGCGCAGTGGGGCTTGCCTTACTCCCAGGTAAGCGGGTACAGTATAGGACAGCAGCCTTGGTAATTTACTTGATCGAACCCACAATTCCGTGAGCGCACAGACTTCGGACCATGCCAAGGCTGGTTTACTGGAAAGGGTAGAGCAATCGTGTGCATTTTTAGCACAGCAGCTGACACGCCGGCAAGCACAGTCGCTAACACTGGAAATTTAGAGGGCTATCTGGGGGCAGCACACGCATACACACAATTACAAAAAAAGGAAGAGAGATATGAAACTCCGGGCCAGATGCCCTACCTGCCGGCTTTGGTGATAATCATTTCAGTGCCGATTTCGTGAAACCTCTTCCACAATTCCGAACCTTGCAGGTCCACTTGGATCGCTCCGGCCCCTTCTCTGGTTTCCTCCGGGAGGGAGCCCGCCGTTTCTCCCTTAGATTTCTTTTCTGGGAGGAAATAAATGCAAGCGGGGTACGGGGACAGAACTACAGCGAGTGCCCGCGGCTTTGACATGCCATTGGCTCCCTTTCCTTCCGAGTGGCTCGGATCGGAATTCAAGCGGAAGCTGCAGGGATGCGTTGCGAGGGCCACTGAGAGCCATTCGTTTTTAGGAAGTGCTCTCAAATATCCATTGGAAGTCCTGGAAGGATTTTCTAGGCAGAGTCTTCGTAGGCGCCGATAATTCCTATCGACTGCTGGGAGGAAAATCTGGTGGCACTCGAACCTGCTGCATTCACACTATGGATTTAAAGTACTTTACCAGCACCACGCAGGAATCTTGGGAACGGTAGTTTGTTAAGCACCCTTAACAAGCTACAGCTTCCATGAGTCTTTGGGGAAAACAGAGTGCTTTTAATGTGCTTTAAATAGATAGTGTGGATATTTTTTTAAAGAAACGATTCAAACAATTGCACGCACTTACGCATGCACACATATGACTTATTTTAGCACGGCTTCGTTCCTAGAGAAATTTTGGGGAACTAAGAGCTCGCAAGTAAATGTGCGGAAGACGAGAGTAAATCCGGGATGAGGAACTCTCGGTCCCTGCAGGTGCTCTTGGACCGCCACCTTCCATCTGCTCCAGTCAGTCTGGTCAATGGTCAGGAATGATGGGAGTTACAGTCCAGTAACATTTGCGGGGTCGTATGTTCCCTGGGGTGTAAATAACGATGGGGGGATTTCCTCTCTTCCGCCGTCACTGAAGCAATTACTTGGCATTCAACTGAGCGCTAGGTGTAGTTTTCGCTGCAATTGGCCTCTCTAAATTTCATTTGAATTGCACGAGTTTAAAGGTTATGCCCTAAACAGAACACAGAACACCCACAGGCCCCAGATTAATCGCTTTGTTCTTCCCTCGGTGTAAAACGAGGCTTTGATCCATTCCCTTTAGTAGAACTGGGAGCGCGGCTGAGCCCTATTCACATTTAAGAATCTTAAATTAAAAACTCACAGTTCAGCACTCGGATTTGGAAAAGTACCCCCTCGGCGTGCGTCCGCCTTCATTGTACAAAGTCCCTTGTTATTTTACCCTTCGCTTATTCAACACAGTCCTAACTTTTTATTTGGGGCAAGCGTTATTGAAAACAGAGCAAGCTTTAGGGGGACGCCGGATTCTTCTTCCGCTGCCAAATGAGGAAATACAATAAAAAATATGTTCCCGTGCCATGCTTTTCTTAAGGTTGTACCAGGGAGTAAATCCTATCAGACGCAGAGGGAGCCTCAGCTGAACAGCGCAATCCTAACTCAAAAGTAAATACTTTTGGAGTAAATGGGAGTTTGCTCCCAGGGAAGCTGGGGCAGGAAATTAGGACTGAATCCTTTCAAGCTACAATTCTAAACGCGCTGACCGACTTCCGAAGAATGTATAGTTTTGGACTGCACGATTCGGCGGTTGCCGGACTAGCACTACAGTGAGAAGAAAGAAGAGAGAAGGGCGACTTTACCTGGCGCCTGGTTTTTCCCGAAGACTGTCTTCTCGGCTGCTTTCTCAGCAGAGCGCTCCTCTTCTTCCAAATCCAGAAGTTTGCGCTTCCCTGAGTTTCCCACTAAAACGTCCACGGAGAAAGCGTGCGCCCTGGAGCTCAAAGCCATGATCCCCGTTCCAAATGTGGAGTCTCTTTCTTCTTTTAGAGAATAAAATAAAGAAAGATCAGGAGGGAAGCCTCCCTTCTTTGCTTCCCCTACTCCCCCCTCTTCAAAGCCGAAAAGAAACTTCAGCCCAGCTCAGAAAGGCTTGTGGCCCGATCAACCCCCTTCCAACACTTTGCGCAGCATCCTAGAGAGTGAGAAAATATATCCAGCTTCCCAGCTCCATTCAGGATTCCTAATGGCTCTCCGAGGAAGCGACTAGCAAAAAGAAGACGACATTTCCATCCCTACTTTTTTAAAAAGGTGGGGGGGGGGGTGGAGAGAACAGAACTGCCTTCTTTGGCAAATCCCAGGGACAGAGGAGCAAGACTGACAAGGGTAAGAAAAGGAGAGGGAACGCGAAGTCAGCTGAACCTGGATCGAGCCAACAGACTCCACTGTTTGTGTTAGGCACTGTTGGAAGTGCTTAAGAGAGAGGATGAGGGAGAGGGAGAGGGGGAAGGGGGTGCGGGGGAGAGAAATGGGGAAGGGGAGGGGATGGCCATGGGGTTGAGGAAAACTCGCCCCTCCTTACCGGGATGAATGTCGGAGACTCTGTTCTCCTTTCCGTCGGCAAACTTAGAAGGGAATTCGACATATAGTGCTTGCTGGGTGCCAATTTGCCAGGCAAAGCGCAGAAGCGAGTAGCAATAGGAGGCGTCTTTCTGGGCGTCCCTTTTGCAATCCCCGTCTAGATCTGGCGAGTTGTCTCCTGCTAAGTCTTCGCACCACTGGGCGGCGTGGGAGGGTTAAGGAATTCATGAGGACTAGAAGCAACGTTTCAAAGAGTTTGCTTCCGGACCTTTCCATCGAAACAAACATGCCTGCCTATTATTATTATTATTATTATTATTATTACTATTATCGTTTAATTCTGTTACGAAAACAGCAACAACAAAATAAAATAAAATCATCAGCAACAACAAAGCTGTCGCTATCCCAGCCGCTGCAAGCCTATGAGTCTTTACTTGCAAGTAAGTGGCAGAGAATTTAATGGAATCTAATTCTGAGTAAACACGGACAGGATCGGGCTGCATGTTGAATTCTGCGCGCTCGGGGTCAAATCTTCCGATGAAGCCTTTTATGGGGAAGGAAGTTCCGTTGAAATCTCCCCACATCCACTGCCCAGTACAGTAAAAGCGATACGTTGTAAGCGATACGTTGATTTCAAGTTATTCTTCCACGCAGGCTTATTTGACAAAATGACTTCCCTTGAAGTTATTTAAAAATGCCCCAAAGGGGCGACTAGTTTTGTCGGAACTGAGGGTGGGAACGGCGTCTCTTTGATGATGCTGATCCTGAGTTTCATTCAGCGCTTTACAACAGCAACGCGTGAAACCTAGAGGGGCTGGTCCCTGCCGCGAGGCGCTTGCAATCGAAGCGCACGATCCGGCCAGCTAGGCGCGTTGAAATTCCTGTGGATTCCAATAGGAAACAGCTAAGCACGTCCTTATGCAATCAGACTTAAATGAAAAGTGCTTTTAACTTTGGCTGGAAGGTGCCCTAAATTCCCACCGGGAAGGGACAGCAATAGGGGAACAGTAAGGGATGGATAAGTCATAGCATTCATTGATCGTTGACATTTCAACACATTGGCTTCCATTTAGGAGTACAAAAAGCATTTACGCAGGCCGCTTAAATCCAAATACTGTACTTTGGTTTCAATTCCTCTCTACTTAAACAGTGGTGAATGGCCGGGCAGGTAGACGAGTTGGCGGGGGGCGGGATTTTCATTTATTCAGATCCTTGTTTCAGGCTTAAAATGGTTTGGTGGTTCCCATTTGATGTTCAGAATCCAGGATGTGATATTTCCTCATTTTGATTTTAAAGCCACTCCAGGGACAATCGCATTGTTGCAGAACCACCCAGAAAAATAACTGCCTGGAACAGATTAGGCGAAGGAGGGACTCCATCAATGAAAATAAATCGCGCTGGGCTTGCTAATTTCAACTGCCTTCTCAAAGACTTTGAATTTGTCCAAATATCAGAGCAATAGCATGTTTACCTGGAGGCAATTCCCTCCGAGTTCCATGGCACTGAGAAATATGGGTTGTATTCAGCTAAGTTTAACGCATTTAATGGACCGTAGTCCTGCCCATTAGTTTCAATAAGTCTGACATGAATATGACTAACGCTGGGCACAACCCTGGATTAAACAGAGTGGACCCCTTGAAATTAGTGAACAGGACTAAATTAGGTAGATTAGTTGCAATCCAGCCAAAGTTCAAAGCACTTTTCATTTCTGCTTGATTGCATTGGGGCGTACTTAGTTCCTCTTGGAATCAGTGGCAATGTCAACGCGCTTCGCTAGCCGGATTGTGCCCTTCGACTGCAGGATGCTGCTCGCGTTGTTCTTGTAATGCGTTTTAGAAACCTATGTTTATGCAGATCTAAATTTAAATATCTAAATATTTAAATATGCAGTATACCGCCCTTTATAACATCCCAGAGCAGTTTACAACACAAATTTTAAACCAGCAAATTACCCCGCGCAAGAATAACTGGTAAATCTAACAGTTAGTTACACAAACAAAAACGTGTGTTTTAAAAACGTGTATAAGAGGTGGAAACAGCTCAAAAAGGTCATCTCCTGGTCACTCCCCTAATCCCTACTCTGGTGACTTATTAGTATATGCACGTTTATCGGAGGAAGTAACCCCCTGTTGAACCGAGTGGAATTTACTTCTGAGTAAACATACATTGTCAGCGCTACCAGACGCTTCCCAAATACAGTAAGGGGAGGAATGAATCAAACTAATACGTTGCAGATGTCCCGGTTATAATATTAAACACTCTATTACTGCATTTATAATATCAGTTTATTGTAATCATAAATATTTTTATTGGTGTAAGTAAAATACACACTGGTATTATTAATACGGCACGATTTTAGAATGACATCCTGAGCAAGGGGATCTCCATGTGCGTGGATTTTTATTTTATTTTTAAAAACTAAAAAAGTGCTATTTTGGCTGCAATCCTATTTCCACTTACATGGAAGTAACCTTCACTTACTAACATATTATTATTATTATTATTATTATTATTATTATTATTGTTGTTGTTGTTGTTGTTGTTGTTATTCCCTGTCCACTTGGCTGGGTTTCCCCAGCCACTCTTGGTGGCTCCCAGCAGAACCATTAGCCCTATACCGAGGATTGCACTTTTTTTAAAAAAAAATGGGGAGGAGGCTTATGCTACTACAATTCCGCATACTTCCAAACGGGAAGCAGTTGTGCATTGATTTAGTCCAGGCACCCCCAAACTCGTCCCTCCAGCTGTTTTGGGACTACAATTTCCATCATCCCTGACCACTGGTCCTGTTAGCTAGGGATGATGGGAGTTGTAGTCCCAAAACAGCTGGAGGGACGAGTTTGGGGAGGCCTCATTTAGCCGTACTTAATCATTGTGTACACAGTCCATTCATTCTTCAGGATAGTGAAGTAATGTGCATTTGTCATTTACATACTGTGCATATCTTAATGCACAGTATGCTTTGAGGAGGCTCCTAGCCTGCTACATATATTCTTTCACACAAATTAGTCAGCTATTTTTTTTAACAAACAAACAAACAAACAAACAAGCAAACAAACAAACACTACTCCACTGCAAAGATAACTCTATTTACAATGTCTCTCCTCTCCCTCTCTACCCCCACCCTCAGACCTGGGACAGTCACAAGCTAGGAAGGGCAACATTAAAAGGTGGTGAACAGTCACTATTTATTTTACCATATGGTGTGGGTAATATGAGCACCACTTGGACTTCCTGTTTTGTCCCCCAAATGCCTTGGTCCAGCCTTGTCTAGACCAGGGGACTGGTCCCCCCTGCACACACACCATGACTTTTAGTGAAGAAGGCCTGTTGGTCTCTAAGATGTGCTACTCATTGGAATATTGCTAATGGTTAAGAGAGTAATGGGGAAATTAAATTTTAAATCAATGAGATTTTTGCCAGAGATGTGAAAAAATGCTTTTCACTGCAAAACTCTGCTTGTTTGCTCAGAAGTAAGCCTTGCTGTATAAAATGGAGCTTAGGAAGTATCCACCAGGGGTTTTGGGGGGGGGGGGGGCGGGGCATAATTAATCACCACAGACCTAACCAAGATGGATTACTTCTGTGTGGGGAGTATGGCTTCTCCTAAACCTGAATGTTGCACTCTAGCTAGTGTGCAGGACACTCAGCACTTTCTTCCACACTAAACTATACATGGTGAGAAGAGAGCAGATAGAGAAGATATTTTCTCCCTCTGTCATAATAACCCAATGATGTTGGAAGATTCAAAACAGGCAAAAGAAACACATTTTCATGCGGTGCATCGTTAAACTGTATTTCGTTCCTATAAAATGTAGTCATGGCCACAATCTGGATGGCTTTGAAAGAGGATTAGACACATTTCTAGGGGATAACTGCTTCCAGGGGCTGCTAGTCACTATGGCTGTGTGTTGCTTCCACTGCTGCAGGCAAGGCTAGTTGCTGGTATCACAGGTGGGAGGAGTGTTGTTGCACTTTGGTTCTGCTTGCAGGTTTCCCATGGGTTTGTTAGTAGCCTAGATGAGCCTTTGGCCTGATCCAGCAGGAATCCTCCAATGTTCTTATGTTCCTAACTAATACTTTCTAACCAACCAGGACACTATATAATTCATTAGTAATAATGATGCACAGAGGACCAGTAACACTTCTAGTGTAGAACATATGAACTGTGCAGATGCATAGCTGCAATGTTATACCACCACAGAGCCCCCAAAATTTTAAAAACTGGATTCCTCTACAGTCAAAAAGCATACCAGCAATTGTTCCTGACATAAATAATGCAATAATCAAATGAGGCTTACATCTGAGTAGATACATGTAGGGCTGCACTGATAGGATACAAGTCTACATTCTCAGCCAAAGGAAATAGAAGACAAAACAAAACAAAACAAAACAAACAACAACAACAACAACAATTTATTATTTATACC